CAGGTTGCACGTTGGAGCCTAAGCATCCCGCCTAACCTATCGAGGCCGGTGCATGGGAAACGTAAGTATTACGGTGGAGTAATCTGTATACAATACGTCGCATTTTAAACGAATTGGCCGCTTCTGGAAGAAAATGTGACGAAATAAGACGAGTAAAAAAAAATAAAAGAACTTAAGTCGCCAACAATTGTTTATTATCATTAAAATAAACCAAGTAAAAAAAAAGAATAAAACGGAAATATAAAATTGGATAAATGTAGGAATGGAAAGCGCGCGTTGCTGTCAAATACTTCACAAATTAACATTCAAGCGTTGTAGCAGCATTATTGATCCCTCGCCATGTTGCCATATGCGTGTCAACTCTTTGTTGCTCAGATTTATAGCGGTGCAGTTGCCAGAGAGTAAATAACTTCTCCCAAAACTGAGCTGCCTAGTGGATAAATCGACCTTTTTTATACTTCATCTCTACCTTTTGTTTCAAAACTGCTTTTGTTTTCATTCCTCGGTGTTCTCTCTTTCGATGTGTGGTCCTCTTTCAGCGGGGGTCCAGTCTTGGTGTTCTATACAGTGTTCAACACCTTATGTTGCCTGAACACTCTCCAGCCTCTCCTACACACACACACACACACACACGCTCCAGTCTCTCCAACACACACACGCTCCTGCCTCTCCAATACACACACACACGCTCCTGCCTCTCCAATACACACACACACACGCTCCAGCCTCTCCTACACACACGCTCCAGCCTCTCCTACACACACACACACACACACAGTGTGTGGGCCTCGTAGCCTGGTGGATAGCGCGCAGGACTCGTAATTCTGTGGCGCGGGTTCGATTCCCGCACGAGGCAGAAACAAATGGGCAAAGTTTCTTTCACCCTAAGTGCCCCTGTTACCTAGCAGTAAATAGGTACCTGGGAGTTAGTCAGCTGTCACGGGCTGCTTCCTGGGGTGTGAGTGTGGTGTGAAAAAAAAAAGGTAGTTAAACAGTTGATTGACAGTTGAGAGGCGGGCCGAAAGAGCAAAGCTCAACCCCCGCAAAACACAACTAGTAAACACAACTAGTAAACACACACGCTCCAGTCTCTCCTACACACACACACACGCACGCTCCAGTCTCTCCTACACACACACACACACGCACGCTCCAGCCTCTCCTACACACACACACGCTCCAGCCTCTCCTACACACACACACGCTCCAGCCTCTCCTACACACACACACGCTCCAGCCTCTCCTACACACACGCTCCAGTCTCTCCTACACACACACACACGCTCCAGTCTCTCCAACACACACACACACGCTCCAGTCTCTCCTACACACACACACACGCTCCAGCCTCTCCTACACACACACACACGCTCCAGCCTCTCCTACACACACACACACACGCTCCAGCCTCTCCTACACACACACACACACGCTCCAGCCTCTCCTACACACACACACACACGCTCCAGCCTCTCCTACACACACACACACACACGCTCCAGTCTCTCCTACACACACACACACACACGCTCCAGCCTCTCCTACACACACACACACACACGCTCCAGTCTCTCCTACACACACACACACACGCTCCAGCCTCTCCTACACACACACACACACACGCTCCAGTCTCTCCTACACACACACACACACACGCTCCAGCCTCTCCTACACACACACACACACACACGCTCCAGCCTCTCCTACACACACACACGCTCCAGTCTCTCCTACACACACACACACACACGCTCCAGCCTCTCCTACACACACACACACACACGCTCCAGCCTCTCCTACACACACACACACACACGCTCCAGTCTCTCCTACACACACACACGCTCCAGTCTCTCCTACACACACACACACACACACGCTCCAGCCTCTCCTACACACACACACACACACGCTCCAGTCTCTCCTACACACACACACACGCTCCAGCCTCTCCTACACACACACACACACACACGCTCCAGCCTCTCCTACACACACACACACACGCTCCAGCCTCTCCTACACACACACACACACGCTCCAGCCTCTCCTACACACACACACACACGCTCCAGCCTCTCCTACACACACACACACACGCTCCAGCCTCTCCTACACACACACACACACGCTCCAGCCTCTCCTACACACACACACACACACACACGCGCGCTCCAGCCTCTCCTACACACACACACACACACACACACGCTCCAGCCTCTCCTACACACACACACGCTCCAGCCTCTCCTACACACGCTCCAGCCTCTCCTACACACACACACACACACACACGCTCCAGCCTCTCCTACACACACACACACACACACACGCTCCAGCCTCTCCTACACACACACACACACACGCTCCAGCCTCTCCTACACACACACACACACACACACACACACACACACACACACGCTCCAGTCTCTCCAAAACACCATTTTGTTCCTCCAACCTCCTCATGTTTCCACATTTTTTGTTTATTAAACTTTCCTTCCATCATTCCCTCAATCATTTTCTTCTCAGTATCCTTTGCTGCTCTCTCCCTCCTTCCCTCCCTACAACAACAACAACACAACCCTGATAATTACTAAACTTGGAAGAGGAGAATCACCTCCACTTCTCCTGATGGTCTCTGCCTTCCTCCATCGGGACCCCCCCCCCCCATCCCCAGCTAAAGCAACCTCCGATTTAGGCCCTCGAGGGGGGAGGGGCGCAAACGTTTCCTTCAGACAAACGTTTATTTTATAAATACATTAGTTTTATTTAATAACAGCACTTACCTATACAAAAATATAAACGTTTAGTTTATATAAACGCATTTCAAACCTTTCTCAATACACCACATCAAGGGAGACTATGGTTTTTTATAACTAAAGTTTCCTAATAATAGTTCAACATAAAAATATAAGAATTAATAAAACTTATAGAAAGTCTATTGGCCCAGCGAGGCAGCTACAATTTATATGTTGACGGGTCGGAAGAGCAACGACCTTGCCGTTTGCAGGGTCAGAGTTCGATTCCCGATGGTCCCAAGTGATCTGGCATAGTTACTTCACTGTCCTCGTATCCCTTCCAAGTGCAATCTGGTCATAATGGCTTAAAGAAGTTATCTGAAGAAAGCACTCGATCATCCAAAATCATTATAAAACCCAGTAATTAGTCTACGTGCTAAACCTGGAAGACTTCAAAGAGCATTAAAGACTGATATCATTCTGGATGCCATAGTGAAAACCAGCAAGATTCAACACAGTGATGTCAAACCTATCTGATTCACCGACGAATTTAATAGACCCATGATTCAAAGAAATATTGTAACAATTTCCGAGCATTCAGGTTTTCAGATGAAATTAACGGTACTGCCCTTTACCGTTTTAAACGGAATTATCGCACCGTTGCGAGAATGCAGTTTTAACAGCAAAATGCAGGTCTTTGTTCCATAAAGTGCGCATCACCACTGTGGCTGTCACAACCTAGCCAGAGATTGAAAATTAAACAAGTTTATCGATATAGATGACCGAGAATCTGGCAACTATTGTAGAGTTGCAGAGTGGAGGTCAGTAATTTGATCTTGGGGAAACCTTTATAGAAGTCTCAAATACACAATTATGTCGTCGGGGGACAGGCTGCCAGTGTTTATATACATGTTAGGCTTAAATCTAGGTCCCCCTCTCCCCAGGATGCAACACCACAATAAGGAGACTCGATCCTGTGTATCTGTTTACTACTAGATAAACATACCCATTAGGTGATGCCCCCCCCCCAATCATTTCTGTCCCTGCCGGAATTCCCAATTGAGAGTCCAGAATGAACAAGGACTACTATATATACACAAAGGCTTCCTGGCCCCGACAAACTAATAAAAAAAAGCTTCAACAGTCCAGGATCGGTCGGGGACCGAAACATTTCCTCCGGAAAGCTTATTGCACAAGACTAAAACCGCGTCCAGTAGCCTAGGATCCCCTCAACCCTCCCCACCTCTCCTGACAACCCATAAAAACCTCACTATCTTAACCCCACCCACGTCCCCATCATTACTCCAGCCCTATCTCTTACCCCAATCTCTGCCACACTCAACCACACGCCGTCGCCCCTTTCAGACCTTCCCTCACCACCTCGCCCCTCCAGCCCGCCTAAGTTGCAATTCCTCTCCGCCATCCGTCTCCCACCGTCCCAATTATACTATCGGCCCGCTATCCTGGTGTTATATACGGCCGGGTTAAGACCAGCGACCAGCATGCTAATGTCCCGGATATCCACGTCTGCTGAGCCCCTCATGAGGGGAGGAGATGGGGCAAGGAGAAGTGAACGTTTAGAAGTGCTGAAGGGAGAGGCAGGGACGGGAGGGTGTAGTTTAAGGGAAGAGTGTAGCTTCAGGGGAAGGTTGGGCGTTGGGAGATTGAGCAGCAAGTAACATCAGACAACCAGGATTCAGAAACCACACAGGGGGCTAGCTCTGAACCGATCATATAGCCAATTAAAAAGCAATGTAATTCTGCACATCACAACCACCACATTATGAATACTCTAGTAGTTATAAATTGTTAAAACACCATGCAACTGCTCAGATAAACTGGCCAACCTTTTTAAAGCTAGATTTCTGAAGATATTGGCGCAACCTCCCACGTTCCTTTTAATTAATACTTTAATTAAAGCTGGTAAAACCTTCTAGCTTACAAGAAGGCAAGGTCAGGGAGATACTAGCAGCAAGGTATTAGAAACCAGGGAACAGGAGACGACAAACAATAGCAAGCAAGATTATCGCCATGCGCTGGGATGCCATTATGCTTATGGTAGCATTTTACCTATTCCTGCAAGGTTAGGACATAAAAGCCATTAACTATTAGGATGTCTGAAATTAACATTCTGTAACGACAGTGCTTACACTACTGTTTACAGTAGTGAATAGAAAAAAAAGTTTTCGCATTGAAGAGTTAAATTTTCCAAATGCCTTTAGAATTAGATTCCTATCAGATTAACTTAAAAACTTTTTGGTCTTCACGTTTTTATTATGAACCGGTTAACATTGTTAATATACATCGAGAATTATAAATAACAGTAACAAACTTAAAATCTATAAAATGTCACATGAACAAGTTAAATACAATGCAATACTACTAACTGCCTTAACACTTAAAATATAAATAACTTAAAACTAGACACTAACTAGACTGCCTTTCAGTATTTATGTAGGTATAATAACGTTCTGTAAGATACACCAAGTACAAAGTTGTAAACATTGAAAATCTGTTGCCTCTAGCTATCCCGGGCGTTATTACGTATTTTCCTACTACGACATTCTCTCATACTAAAGCAGTCGTCTGCATACTACAGCCGACCATTAAATGTAATGGTAAGCAATGTTAACGAAACAATATAGGACAGTTGCGTATCCAAGCTAGGCTTGCCAGTAATGTGTCAATTTTTAGCCTAGCGAAGCCTCGGCAACTATATTTCCATATTTTGGATCGGGTCAATACTCTTTGCTCCTGAAGATCTCTTCTAGGATTGTAGCGGGTTCTTCCTCAGGTGCGTCTTCCAGGGCACACGTCTGGCCGGCCACGGATATCCTGTGGACCACTGTTCCGTTGTCGTAGGTCGACCACGCCTCCAGTGTAGTCTTCCAGGCTGCGTGTAGCGATCCCTCCTCCCAGAACCTGCAAGCATATTGCCGAGAAAGTTTACATCCGTATAGGCTTACTGGGAATTAATAACTAGGAAAATTAATGCCTGAAGATGGTGCAAAGGTGAATTTTAAATGTTAGGTTTGCCCTCTTTTCTCCCACCCCTCAATCCAAAAGTGTCAAAAATCTTACTTTAACCACCTATCTACACCCGGGGAAAACACGTTACCACCCTCCCCAGGCCCCACATTGTGGTTTTGGTCTACTACATTAAGCCGTCAAGATAACGCTTTGATTGTAAAGGCATCTCTTTTGCCTCTAGCAGCTTAACTAGAAAAATACCGAACTCTTATGCATTATTCCAAATTTGGTCGACTGGCACGAATTGCCAGCTTCTAGTTTGCTACCTAGAATGCAAAAGACATCAAAACAATTTACCTTCAGCCCCCTGGCCGTACCCCGCCCCTTCCCTGGTCAATGCTTACATGTGTATGCCCCTCTGGCTGAACCTCGTTACAAAGCCCTGCTGATTGATGACGTAGAGGAGAAGCCGAGAGGGAATCGCCAAGAACCTGGCCTCCAGGGGCTGCACCACCGACAACACTTGCACTAAGTGGAAATTGGGCCGAGGTTGGTAATGATAGCGGTCACTGCTGCTGAAAAAGTGGTGTAGCACCGTGCCAGAGTGACCCAGAGCCGTCAACCCGTCCTCACTGAACCAATCCATCCTGTCAAAGATTCAAGATTAAACAACTAACAAAAATTATGAAACTGCTTACACCTTAAAACACTTATTAAATATTTTAAGTTAGATTAAGGGAGGTTACCTTGAAAATGTGTTTACTCCTACCTAGAAAAAACTATTCACGTCTATTTTAGGTAGCTTACACTAGGTCAATAATGAGCCACGGGATAATACAGACCTGTAGATGTTGACCGCGCCTTCCTGATCGCCTCTGAAGGTCTCCAAGACCACCGCCAAGAATAGGTCTGAGCGGTGGGAAGCAAACTCCACCCACACCGCACTGTGAAGGTCAAACTCCTGCAACGGTTCTCAAACTGTAGTGTTACACCAAAAATTTTAGAACTGCATCTACCTAAATAGCTTAATCAGCAAAATTAGCAAGTTTACAGCGAGTGAAAAAATTACAAATTTACTGGAAAATTTTCACCGACTGGTAAGCGGTCAAAAAACAAACTAATTCATAGTTTGATTTTTAGCCCAAGGGCAACATATGGGAGCAATAATCCCCTTAATATAATACTTATCAAATGATAAACTTTCCTATCAGATAAAAAACTACATTCTACAAGTTTTGTAAGCTTTTCACATCATGTACCATGATTATATTTAGTAATAGGGTACACGGTACTAAAATTTAAGTTTTCTTTGAGCCACGTACCTCAGGCCCGACATGGTAGCCTCGCCAGCCTCTGCGACAACTGCACTATGTGCTTCAACTATATTCTCACCTGCAGAATACTGAAGGAGGAGTTATTGTGGTCGCTCCTCCAGATATAAGCAGCCCCTCTGTGGTCAGGGAAGGTCCCAGGGTCTGCTACCGTCAGGAAGGTCCAGGATCTGCCCAGGGGGTCTTCGTGCTCTGCCACAGACACCTGTATGTGCAAAGTAACATTTGCGATTTAAGAAGAGATACAAGATTAAGATGTTTAGTACTTTCATCATACTTTTGTGCCACAAACTTGCTTTAGTTGCAATGGTATTTAAATACGAAAATGGGAATAAGTTTTCAACAGGGCACATCTGCCAAAGTCTTAACCATTACATAGAGCAACTCCTCACTGGAAGATTAAAAAAAGGGATTTTGAAAGCCCGAGAAAAAAATTTCACCTTGCGGGGGTTGATGGAGTGAAGGCGCTGTCGTTCCCTGAAGTGTCCAGCAGTATACTCGCAGAGTATGACCGTGTCCGCGCCACGGGCTTCCACCACAACCAGGCACGGCACTCCTCCCCACCACAGTACCTGCCACACATTACAAGAATTCAGTGAAATTAACACAAACTACGTATTAGTTTGGCCACGTGTTCCAGGGGGAAAAAAAAACATTTTTACTAGGGGGAACACTTATAAAAATGCAGCCTAGTTCTCACTTGGAGATCAGCAGCTCCTGGGGTAGGGATGAAGGAGACTAGGTAGGGTCGCTCAGTCACGCTCAGCCTGTACACCTTCACCCACTCGTCTCCGGCCATCTGCACCAAGAAACTTCATCTTAGCGTTATTAAATTTATCCGAATCTTTTTTACCCATCAACGCTACTTTACAATATTATATAGGCACACTAACTTTGCAATCTCCATTCACGTGTTTGATACCAATAATCCCTGCCATGCTACTTTGGCCTAGTCCCACTTTACCATTCATGTTATGATTTACTTTGCATGATACTAGTTTGAATCTAAACCATGTTAATCTATTCATCGCACCTTCACCTTTTCATGCACGAGGTGAAGTCCAAACTTAAGTTATACAGGCAGTGAAACTTTCAGACCTTTTTGCTTTACCGTCTAAGAGCTGCCGTATTGCACGACGCAGCTTTTAAGCTAGTTTTGGTACATCCTAAGTACTAGGATGTATTTTTGTAGTGTTCAGAATACTAGGATGTATTTTTGTAGTGTTCAGAATACTAGGATGTATTTTTGTAGTGTTCAGAATACTAGGATGCATTTTGTAGATACATCTGAGAAAAGAACAGCATAGTAATTTGCATGTTAATAGTTACCATATTGCCACTAATATGATAGGATAACCGCTTTTGAAAGATCTTTAAAGGGCGACACGTGACATTAATCACTAAATAATGACAGCGCGGAATAAGGGGAGGGGGAGGTAATTTGGTCATTGGATGGTCTTTCAACGCAGTTTGCCTACATCTTGTGCTAGAAACTATTAGATACGACGTGTCCCATCCGGCATGAATTACATCTCTACAGATGGCTTGTTACCAAGCCATTATAGGGTACAATATTTTACTACCACGAGGCCCAAGAACAATTTATGAAGTTTTAGGCTTTTCATGAAGGTCTAAAACTAATCTATTACTAGTTGGGTTACAGACAAGTTCACTAATATTTTATAAACTTAAACTGGGACCGTGGTCTTTGCTATATTAAATATTTAGTTCCCCCCCCCCATTTAAACAAATAGCAGTCTTTTTTCTATAATTTAAGCAGGAGTTTTCACTTAAAACCTTGTCATTTTACCGTAAAAGATTCACGTGTATCGTGCCAAAAACACAAGGGTTTATACTTTGAGGCGTCACCCGCTTTTCTATGTAGTTCTGGACTATGCTCAGGGCTCTGTCATAATTGCAGGTTGGTCAGCAAGCTTTTAAGGTGGCCTTAACCTACCATAGGATGACCGTCAATCTTAGTTGAAAGAAAGTTGCGCTGTAATTATGCTGCTACGCGTAGCACGGTCACAAAAAGGCCTATTCAAGTTCTATAATGCTGCATCTTGCCAAGTTCCTACGAAAAGACAATAGCGAGGCTACCTGATGGGAGGTGCTGGTGTTGGCATGACTGGCGTCTTCAAAGTTACAAGCATGACCCGTGACAACGAAGATGCTCGCATCTGGTCTTCTGTAGCCCACTACGCTTCTCGTACAGTTACCAGGGATCACATCTGGCCAGGAGTCACACCGTTAAGATACATCAAGAGTATTCTACAATTATAGTATTGTATAACTATCTTGGAATTTTAATTGCTAAAGTATAGTTATGCAATCTACTCTAGATTTAAATATTAGCCGATGCAATCATTTTACTTTAGCCTAAAATAGGAAAAAAATGTTTCGTGCAAGTTCCGTTGCAGAATAGGCTTTAGATACAGCTAAAGATTAGCTAAAGCCGCTTTTTTCGTCATCCTTTATAAGTAGTCACTTAATTTTTAAACTACCAAATTTAAAAAATCTAATTCAAGACTAACAACATACCGAAGTCCAAGTACTGCTTGGAAGCGGTGTTGTACCCGAGGAGTCTGACGCCGCCGGACCTAGTTACGAGCGCCAGGTAGCCGGAAGCCAAGGCGCCAGCAGCCTTGCCCCAAACCAGTCTCAGGGGCACCAACCTCTGCGGCGCCGCCTCGAACTGTTGTACTAAACGCCAACCCCAGAATTCTCGTACACGGCCTGTTTAAACAGCATCGAGTCATTAAAAGTTACAATAACTCTAGTAAAGGCCCTGTGCCAGTGCGTACAACATTGGCATTTACCACAGATAGGCTTCAAACTTATCAGGTTCGCAAATTGTTGACTTTTCAGTATAAAAGTATTATTTACTTTATACAAATTCCATCATAATCATCAAACTCTAGATTTCTTTAGCCATAAGCTGCTATTAAACTATAAAATAGCTAGTGAACTAGGCATTTACAAGCCTAATTTACAAATCTAAACTTGCGTTTGGATTCGTTCCAGAAAAAACCACTTCAGTATAACTTTAGATACAGTTTAATATTTGTAGGACGTTGTTACCTTTGATTGCCCAACTGACTGCGTTGGAGAGCTCTTGCACGTGGAAGTTGCTCTGCTTGTACTCCATGTTGCTCAGGGCACCGTCAACAACATCGGCCAAGGCGATGGCTCCAGGCCCGTAGCTCACGTCCTGGAACACTACAGCAACATGGAACGTCACTGGCTGCCTTACCCTGTTGGCTCCATTTACCTGGAACTGGAAGTGAAAGAAGTGAAGTATCAAGAAGACAGACCACGAAACAATGGGTATAAATTTGAAAAGTTTAGATTTAGCAAAGACACTGATAAATACTGGTTCGGTAACAGCTTTGTTGATCTGTGGAACCAATTACCGTGTAGCGTGGTGGAGGTGGGGTCCCTTGATTGTTTCAAGCGTGGGATGGGCATGCATATGAGTGGGATTGGGTGGTTAAAGATAGGAGCCGCCTCATGGGCCAATAGGCCTTCTGCAGTTAACTTTGTTATGTTCTTAAGGAAGTTACCTTGTACGGGAGTGTGACTTTCAAGCCAAACAGAGCGATCTACAAGTTAAAAATTTGTATAGATTGAAATCATAAAGTTTAATGAGAATTAGACAATAGTTACCTAAACGATTGGATTAACTTTTACATCCGAAGAGATTTAATATTTGCTAGAAATTTGGCCTTTTAGACAATCTACAGGGATAAAATACGGGATCATGAACAATTCTATACAAGTGATTTAAATCCATTTCATTCAGAATTATGTCAAAATCCTAGATGGCATTTTCAAGTTTTATCCGGCAACCAGCCTTCGGCAGGAAGGTAGGTAGCCAGTCCTTTCCCTTCCTCCAAGTCTCCAGGGGCACCCCACTTAGGAAGTACCATAGCCTAACCACAAAGCCGCTTTCAAACCCTCCTGACCATCAAATCACCACTCCCCAGAAACCCCCCCCTACTGCACACCTCCCTTCACTACTTACCGCTCGCTCCAACAACGCCGTCAGGTCGAGACCGTTGAACAAGCCGTCTGTAGCAGACAAGGAACTAGATAGGAAGATCATACCTGCCGAAGGAAGCCATTTTTTTTTTACTAACTATTCAATTAAAGTGTCATTTAAATATGGACAGTTTCTTGTCAACACTAGATCTTTACAGAGGACAGTTTTCTACCAAGACCGTACCTTCTTTAAGGAAGACTGACAGATTACCCGTCATGACTTGTGTGCCAGAGAGGGTCAGTAACTGAAGCAAGGAAACTTCGACACCATTCACTACACCATGTACCTTCACACTGGGGGAAAACAAATCAACGCTAATCTAACTTGCCGTCTGATTTAATATTTCCAAAAAGCCATTCCAAGAATTTGGCTAATTTTACATGTCTACTTTCACATCTTTGCTCAAAACTGTTGCAACGATTTTTCAGTTCTAAATTTTTTCATTAGCATGTATTTAGAAATGTTTTAGATCATTTTCTAAAAGTTTTAATATTGACTTACTCTCTGGAGGTGGCTGTGAGGGAGGCGGTGAAGGTAGTAAGGCCAGGAACGTGGCCACATGCATCTCTGTACACAACTGAACTGAAGGACTCAGAGACGTCCACTCCTTGCACTTTTCTGTACACAGAAAAGATATTAAAAACTCAAATGGCTATTTAGGCTTCAATTCGATAACAGGAAAAATTCAGTACCATCACTTGTGGTCTAAGTGGTATACAGACACTACTATTTACTACGAGTCTACAGACTACGAGTTAGTCAACATTAAGTGTTTATAATTCATCAAGTTCCACACTGCCAGCAAATACCTTCGAGGTACGACGTTGTGATTCCCCGCGACTACGAGGTCTCGAGTAAAGATCTTCCTGGCGAAGACAACACATGGCTTCCCCAGTTGACACAGCCGCCTCATGCTCAACCCATTCACCAGGCCAGAGGTCACCACGTTGCCTGTGGCACAGAAATTATCGTCAGTGTGGCACTTGCTGGACCGTCGGCACCACCTTAACCAGTGTCTCGCGCCACCAATAACCCTTTTTTTATTTCTAAAAGTTAAGAGGGAAATTAAAGTTTAATGAAGTTTGCCCAGTTTCCACCTTGATATATTTAAGACTAAACACTTGCAGGACACTAGCGGCCAAATCCGGCCAGGGCAAATTAGTTTCATTATGCCCCTCATTAAGTTAGTAGTCGTATTCCGTCCTATCTTCACACGGATCGTTTGTATGTAAGGGACCAGGCTCCAAAGGCCATGTGGTTCACTATGGAAAGACCAGAGTAAGGCAACTATACTGTCTGGTCATTGGCTCCATTCCACAGGCATACAAGGTAGTATTCCCCCAAGAAGTAAAATTAACCTTATAGTAAGGACACGCAGCATATGTCTGCCCTCACCTGCTATATGCACGCTCCTCAACTTCCAATAACCTGTGATGATCTGATCACCGGCAATAGTGAAGACTCCGAGCAAATCGCTCGCTGGCCTGCTATTTAGGGAGTGGGTCTGGAAATTGGTAATTTAGAATCACTTGCTATGATCCACTTACGAGAATGCAAAAGAAATCAAGACTTTCCTCTTAAGTATTTAAAAGAATCTGATAAAGTGGATTTTTAATATTCATTTGTATCAATGGTGTCTTAAGTACACTAACCAAGTCAGTTTTCAATCCCCTTTTAGGGAAGTCCCTTCCCATCTTTTCAGCCTTACCTTGATAGTGTCCACGAACAAAGAGTTTATGGTGAGATCGACAAGATTGAAGGCCCCAGACACGACCTGCGATCTGTTGCAGCTTCGACGCAGAACTCTACTGGCCAAATCCCCCAGGTCCATCCCATTTAACTGAGGAAGCCGTTTCAGGTAAAGTTCAAGCATGTTTATTGAGACAAGAAATACATCGTAAAGGGATAGAGTAGCTTAGGCCATTTCTACCCCCCCAAACAGTTCCCTCTTACCCCACACATTAAAGTCCAGCTCCGATACTTTAAAAATTAACCGAAGACAAATGTTTACAATATTTCATTCTACTTTTCCGCTGCTCACCGTGAGCCGGAGCTGGGTGGCTTGTTGCAGTTACTCACCGTGAGCAAATTTAAGTTTCTAGCTTCCAGTACACGCACCAACAGGCCCACAGGTAGGCTAACATCCAGGTCCTTCATCCAGAAGTCGCCAACAGCCTCTCCTGAGATCATGTGCAGTCCCAGCTGTGCCACGTCGGCACTTGCACTCTTGGCGAACCTCAATGTACCTGCAAGAGTACCATTTGGGTGAGAAGTACCTTTAGAGTTGGTTATTTTACCTGCAAAAAACCCACTGGGCGTCATTGGGTGCTCTGTAACTACATTTGGGGCACTGCCTTTTTCGCCCGAGTCAAACTAATCTGACTTGTCATTTTAACCATCTGGTCAACCGAACTGGAATATTACCTTATGCTAACAAGGTAGAAATGCCCTTTCGTTCATTATCATGAAAACTAGCAGAGCAAGGCAGAAGTCTAATTTTAAATATAAATACGGGTTAGCCCCTTATGATTAATTACGTCAACCAAATTTTATACGTTTTACCATAAATATTCAAGCTATGTATGGTGAGGTGGCCACAGAGGGAGTCTAAATCGACACCGTTGATTCCCTTCAGCGCTACGAAGTTTCCGGTGATGTTGACGGGGCCTAGGAATGTCATCGAGGAGTTGAAGACAACGTTGGAAGTGGTGTAAAGGATGGAGTCTTGCGAGAGGTCCCAACCTTGTATACGTCCAGAGAGACTCGTCCACAGCAGCGACCTCACCTCCCCTGCACAAAGAAAAATTGACAAGTTGTGAAGTTCAGACTTTCATTACATTAGTTAAGGCATAGGCTTTAAATATTACTATTTAAGAATATACCACAATTATTATGAACTTAGACTAGCAGGTCTTGGTAATTTATTTACATATTAATGTTCCTCACCAAAGGTGACAGGGACAGTCATAACTGTCGACTCTGTCACGAGTAGACAAGCAGTGTGGAGGCGCGAGACGTCCACTCCCTGGACCAAGACTCCTGGAGATGTTTCCACGATACCACAGGTCATGCTGTCCACCACCACCATCGCACCAGGTATCACCTGATCTGAAGACTTCAGCAACCAGTCTCCCGTATACCGCGCTGATGGCACAGTGTCGAAAGTGTCTGGGAAGTGGGGAAATTATGGAAATATTTCCATAAGAAAAGTACAGCAAATAAGGTAGGGAAGGGGAAGGAACAATATTGAAAGGGTAAACTTAGAAAAAGTAAACTTAGAAAAAGCAAACTTACCAAGGAAGACGAGGGTGGTGATCGACGTGGCGCCCTCTATAACTAGTCCACCGGTAATTGTAGTGGTCTGGTCCAGGTATACCACACGCCTCGGTAAACTGTAGGGTGGGCGGAGTCAGTACTACGACAACTTATGATCAATATGACCACCAAACTACACAGCAGAATATGAAACTATTACGTCCAGTCCGTCCTGGACCATCAAGTAGATTGTGATGGGCAATGGCATTAAGCGAGGCAAGGGGGAGAGGCGAGGAGGATGACATTCCTCGAGGTAGGCAAGAGCCAAGACAAAAGATAAAGATGGGATAGATGTAATAAAGGTGTAAAGGGAGGGAATAATGGATACAAGACTGGAAACTTAAGAAAAAGAACGGGTAGACTTGTTAGGTCACGTTAGATAGAAATGTTAAAGCATTTATGTACAGTGAAATCGTAGAGTCGAAAGCAACAAAGTTCACACTGTCCAGGATAACCACCGAATTGGGTTTAACAAGAAGAGTTGTTAAGCTTTCGGGGAGGAAAGGGCAAGTGGGAAGCGACGAGGAAGGTGGCAATTCTTAGAAAAAAACTAGAACAATAGTTTAAGTAATAATTAACAATGAGTGTCGACATTTTTTAAACCAAGTACTTCAAGTCAAATTTTGAAGACTACTAGCGTTATATTTTGCCCTACGTTATACCCCCACGAAGGAGAGATTTCAGCGAGTACGCAAAAGATATTCGGAAATAAATCTATTTGAGTAGTGTATCATACAACTCTTCCACACTACCGCAATCTAACCATAGGAAATGGACCCCCCACCTGTGGTTCCATTTCCACCAACTTCACTGCATTTCATAAATCAAGCAATTTTCAATCACTCAACATTGCAGAGTCATCTCTGGCATGCAAGAGTTTCCATATAAACTAGAGAAAACTTATACTTTGACCGTGTCGTGCCTAGACATGTCGAAGATTTTGTTTGAAGAGGTGAAGCCTCTGGTGGCGAGTTCTCCGGGCACGAGCAGCGTCTTCAGCCGTACTGCACTTGTCATCACCTGCACACCACCTGATGAAACAAATCTGCTCAACACCTGCCTCTGATGAAGATTAAGCCACCCAAGAGGTGGCACGGGCATGAATAGCCCCTAAGACTTGCCTCTAACTTTTTGTTTCATCTTTTTTAAACTTATTCCATCTAGCCCGGTGCTCCTACCTGGGTTCCTCCTGAGGGAGGAGAGGAAGAGAGCGGTGACGTTGATTCTGTTGATAAAGTCCACCTGGAGACGTGCCATCTTCACTCCGCCCGCGACTACCACCTCCAGAAAGCTCTTTCTTCCTGAAGGTGATCGGAAAAGAAGTGCCAACAAGTTTCATACGTCTAGTAATTTTGTGGCGAGATCTTTTCATTGAAAACTTTGGGAGAGGGGGAACTGCACAAGTTTGAAATGCATTAGCAGCCTAAAATGCGAATCTTAAGTTCATTTAAACTTTTCAATTACCTACCAGAAATCATTGCAGTGTCGTTCAACAGGACCAGATCAGCAAGCCGAACACCTGTCAATATGCACTCCGAGCACTCTAGTCTGAGGGGAGAGAGCACACACAGTTTAGTGAATCACTACCCAACCTGACCTTGCCAGCGTTTACGTCACTAACCTGATGTACTAAGAATGCCCGAACCTAACCTAACCGTGGATCCACCGGTAGAAAACTAGAAATCTTCAATTTTGCTAGGCGTCATGATTAGTACATAAATTTCTCCCCGAATGGGGTTTACACGTCAAAAAAATGTGATTTAGTATTAACGAAAACGGGTCTGCCATCCTCGTTAATATCCCAAGACTTACCTGGAGGCGGCTACGTTGGTGAAAGTAATGGGGTTGAGGAACGTCTTGACAACGGAGGAGTTTGTAGTTAAAGCTACATTCCTGGCGAATGTTGTCAGGTCAATGTTGTTGACCATCGATTCTAGCCTCATCTTGCCATTGACCAACACGTCGCTCTGCGTGCGACGAAATTCATTGTTATACTAATTAGCACTAGTCTTTTAATGCTTAAAACTGAACACAAAAGCAATTTAAACCTTAGTGGGCAACATTTAATTGTGTTTAGATACATTACAATGACTTTAGGTAAACGAGCAACTTTTAGGTAAATGTTTATGCAACAATTATTACGTTTTCCAAGTGATTCCAGCAGATGTTGCCCAATGACGGCATTCCTAGTAGGTACAATATACAAGATAAACGTAAATTCAGCGTCGAATCAACGTTACACTGATAGTGTGGCCACTAGATTCCCAGGAAGTTGGTCCCAAGTACGTCATTTGAACGTACCGTGAAGACGAGTGGCTGGGTGAAAACATTACGTCCTTTCAACGTCACGTAGTGCGAGGCTTCCACCTTGTTCAGCAAACCCGTCACCACAACCTCGCCAATCACCTGTAGACATTGTTTCCAACAATGAACAAATTAATCTTAATCCGCAGAATTACAACCCGTAGCCATTAATACAATGCTGGGCAAGTGAATGTTGGAACTTGTGCAAATGCCTTCGGGCCAGCGTCATAAGAGCATGGTTAAAAAAGCTCTAGAATTTGTCTCTTTCCTAATCTGGCTAGAATTTTACAGCCAACCTTCAGTCAACATTTAAAAAAAAAGTCTCATTAAAGTAATGCAAATAATATCAGTCTTTAGAGCCTTTCGGCAATCTCTGCCAATTCAGGCATTTCAGTAAAGCCTACCGACTCCCACAGCCTGGGCAAAGCCTGTTTTTTCCTTGTTCATTTCTAGTTTCTAAGTCTGGAATGATTTGCACGATTGGAGAATGACTCACGACCAATCTAGTACAGGAGTTCTGAACGTACATGTTACTCTGCCAAGCCACAGTTTTTGTTCCATTAAGATATAATGAGCATTAAGACATTCGCAGAGGAAACAGGAGGGGAATATGTCCAAGAGTGAAAAAAATTAGCAAAACTCACCGTTACAAGTTCCGAAAAGGTGATAGAAAAATCTATTGCATTTGCATCAAGCATCAAGCCGTGGCGAGCGACTCTGATCATGTCCACTTCGTTCACCAGAGCGACGTTTAGAGATTTCATGAGCAGTTTCCTCACCTTGTCCATGTGCGTAACTGAAGAACGAACATGGAGGTAGACAGAAGTAATAAAAATAGTGTGAAGGGGAAGAAGGTTATGATGACGGGATGCACGTATGGAGAGGCGAGGCACAAATCTTTGGATTGGATAGGGGAAAGGCAAATCAAAAACATCTTTCAGATCACTAAAAGGCAGCTACACCACCCTTAAGAACCCAGCAATATTTGTGCTGAAGATTTCTTAAATAATTGAAGCTTCCTACGACACTAGAGACTTTGTTCATGCGAGTTAATTACCAAAAATAGTTTAACTGTACCAGAGCAAATCAAAATATTCCGAGAGGGGCGAGTGTGAGTTGGAGGCTTTGTAAAAGGAGAGACTAAAATAAACCAACTGTCAGCAGACTCCGATCCTTCCAAGAGTAGGAACGGCCGTGGAAAAGTGGATAGTACTTTCCGGACATGGATAGGTTTTTCTATTAGTGGGGAGGGAGGGGGAAGAGGGGTTACGAGCCTACACAACATCTGTTAAATTTATTACCTAACCAATTACCTACAGGATTAGTGCTATATAGTCTTCCCGATTTCGTGCCCCTTTTACCATACAATTAACACTTTCAGAACCGTGCTACCTTGATGGAATCTCATTAAGAGTTCTAACATCACAGTTGTAGAGTGCGAGCAGATATTTGCTTCAATTTTGAGTGGAATATATGAACGTCTTTTAGATTTTAGTGTAAATAACTGCTCTCAAAAGTTTAAAACGTTGGAAATGCAAAAGGCAGTTTTACTCGCGATGGTTAGCGATAGTGATGCCGCTTGGCATCAAAGGAATGTAATTAATCATTATCTACCCACTCACTATTATTGGTCTCTTGAGGATAATTACTCAATGGAAATGGTTAAAGGAGGGCAAGTGGTGTAGCTAGAGTAATGTTAGAAAACTTTACCTCTTAAGATACTGACGCAAATCTAAACAGTGTCATTAAAGAAATTTAAGGAACATTTCAGCACAAGAAATTGTCATTGTGGAAAGTATATACAACAAGATGCCACAGAAGTCTTTACACTACATCTTTCATTTCAAAGTTATGATACTCACCAATATACTGAACGGGATCGTCTGAGGCAAGGAAATGAGATGAAAAGTAACTAATTAGACGTCCTATGTCGTATCCTGCCACGCGTCCATTCACCCATGATCCCGGCGCTCCTGAAGGTGGTATGGTCAAAGTTACTCCCGTTGAGGGAGCACCTGTCGTCTGTGTGGACGAGGGCACCTCAGGGGTGCTTCTGTGGACGGAAATGGTGAGGAAGGACGGAGTAGTCGGCAATGTGGTGTAGCGACGAACATCTACCGAAGATATGGGCGAACCGAGCGTCTCCCCGACGTGAGGGAAAGAATTCATGGCTCTCTGCATCAGTTCAAAACATGTCACAACCTGTGTCACCTTCACCGTCGAGGCGGGAAGGAGCGCCCTCAAAGATTCTAAATCATCCCGAGCTGCCAGCGACAACATCGGGCTGAACCTCTTAGCAAATTCCAGAAAGTGGTTGAAGAACATCGCCTGCTTAGACAAGCTGCCAGCGTCCAGAGACTCCACGGCCTGGATAGGATCGGTATTCAGCATTTTTACAGTATTATAAACTTGTCCCGTGTGACGTCTGAAGTAGGATTCGAACTCTCCTTCCTGGGAATTTGAAGAGATCTCTATATTCCAAGGCAGAGTGGCGCTTATGTTGTGAAGATACTGTAAAGCCGATTGTAGGATCACTATCGCTCCCTGAGCATAGGTGACGTTTTCGTAGTAGTGGCCAGGAATGTTGCTGCAGTTGTATTCGCTGGTTGTCCAGCTGTATTCTGCATGGGGGAAAGTAGAGGCATTTATCACACCCAAAAGGTTTATTTAACTGGAAAATAACCTATAAAATAAGATTAAAGTTAATTTATACGTGTATGTGGCAACAATTTTAATTAATGTCGACTAATCGTAAAGTTAGGTTCGAAGGATCAGTTCGAACAGACGCTAGGTGAACAGAAACTTTCCAACCGTCTCCCCCACCCTGGATTCGAACGAAGGATTCCAGAGTGAACCCAACTGTACTAAAGAACCAACAGCACACTTCCTCCGCCCTTCTTAATTTTGTGAAGAAAATTTGTATTTGGATATGAATTACGATCTAAAGGAACCAGCCGTGAAAAGATAACTATGAAGCCTGTAGCACTACTGCCACATGTATCAAGCCCCTCATGCCCGTACTTGCCCCAATATACAGTAAACTTTTACAAGTATCGTACAAAAAAACTCTGCAAACTTTAAACAGCTGTAAACCCTATGCCAGGACTACATTTCCCCTAAAGTCTACCTTTATATCTGCCAAGCAAATAATTTTCAAAGGTTCAAGACCAGGAATGAAAATACAAGAGTATTTTTAATCCGTATTATTACAAGAGTTAAGAACTTAACTCTCTAATCTCGTCTTTAGAAATTAATCTGCGTACTCTTATTTGCGTTCAATTTTTAAGATTCGTGTACGGTTTCTTTCCCCCATCTGACAGCCTTAAATTGTTATATCAAGATGCCAGATACCGAGATTTCAGGACTAACTTGAAAAATTAATATACTGATTTTTAAGAGCTCGCCAATTTTAAGCCTTCAGTTATGATAACTATTTAACCAAAACAGTCTCAAGTCTTACCAAGGGTTGCTTTAGCGGATCTCTTCGTTCTGCTGGCAGTAGTCTTCTCAGCTTCCAGCAGTTCTCTCCTGTACGACGACAACATCTTCATTACAATTTCGTCGCCCTCACCAGTGACTGCTTGGGTCAGACACTCACCAGCCACTCTGAGGGCGTCACTAAGCTGCTGCTGTTCTCTGATCACCTGCAAGAGTACCCCGATCCCTTGTTCCTCTAAGGCCACCTGCAGCACCTCCCTCTGCTTCTCCGAGAGCTGGGTCAAGTTCCTCGCAATAGAGGCATACTCTCTCACTCTTCTCAGTACGTTTTTAATGTGCACAAATCCACGTAAACATTCATTATCCATGACAGTGGAGTTAGTCTTCATATCAGGACATACTTTGCATTCATGCTCTGTCTGACCGTCGTTCGAGCGTTCATTGCTAATGGCAAGAATTACCGATTCTAAAACTGGAAGATCATCTTCACCCTTTACGTACATCGCCATCCTTGCACTAACGAATATAACAAACACGTCATGCCACGTTAGTTCACGATTCGCAATGTCCTCGTCAAGATCCTTCTTGTATTTTTCAAGATTAACAACGAGACCCTTTATGGCATCATTAATTCTCAAATCCATCCGCTTCCCTTCGTTTTTCCAGTCCAAGTTACGCAAGTCAAACGTCAACACGCTTCCTTCCCCATCTACCTCTGAGAATGCACAACGGACGTCTTGCGAGAGTCTAGCATAGAAGGTTATGCCGTGATGAGGGAGAGAGATCCCGCCAGGGTGGTCTTCGTTCAAGTAGTTCAATAGGTCCTGGGCAGCGGCAACACGCCGAAGGGTACGCAGTAGTCCCTCCCGCCTAGCCTCGCCCTCCGAGAGGGTCTGGTCGTCCAGGGACACACAAGCCTCTCGGTCAGAGTCCAGCTCCCGGCGTCGACGTCTGCCGTAAGTGGACGAGCTCGGGTCGTTTTTAAGGTGCATGGAAACGAAGGTCTTCTGGGCCGTCACTGGCTGGCTCCCAGTCACTAGCATTACGTCCAAGTGGCCATTACTCGCCTGACAAGAGATTGGCAGGTCTAGAAGTTATATTATTCAACTACTTTTAAAAGCCTATTTCTAACCGGATTTTCTCATTAAAGATAATTCTGGTCACAAGAAATAAGGGTGTGGGAGAATGAATATTTACCAAGTCAGTGGTACGCAAGTCTAGAAACTTTAGCATTGAAATTAGTTGTCTGGACTAATATTATTCTATCAAACATTATTCTAGTTTGCTCCTGAAGTTTAACCAGCAAAATCTAGTTCTCTGGATGGTGGCGCAAAGCCGCAGTGGCTTCGCGCGCGCCAGTACTGACCGTGATGGTGTGTAGAGCGGTGTTGATGGTGAGGGAGGCGGCGAGGAGGTGGGTGAAGGCTGCCGACGACACACTGTAGGAAAGGTGAGAGTGTCTCTGGAAGACCTCACCTGGCACCCTCACACCGTTGACCCTCCCAGTCACCCTGGCTGACAGGCACCTCATGCCGCCCACACGGTGATCACCTGCAGTGTGGAGAAAGTTATTACACCCGACCACTATACGGCCATTACCCGACCATAACCTGCAGTGTGGATCAAGTTATTACACCCGACCACTATACGGCCATTACCCGACCATAACCTGCAGTGTGGATAAAGTTATTACACCCGACCACTATACTATATCAGCCACTCACCGACCCGCATTGTGGACATAACTAGAACGGCTACCGGAAGAACCTCTTACCCGATACAACTTGCGGTCGTGGGTCATCTGTTCTAAGTGGGTTGTAGAGGTCAACGTTTGTGACATTGACCTCTAAGTTGCCAGAATGGAGATCACCATTGACAACCAGCTGCCCTGTAATTAGAAATAAGACTTGGGTTTTAAGAAGTACTAAAAAATCTTTCGTTGCTCTTTTTCCACTTAAACTTTACATTTATGTGCGGCACTTCAATCTTAATTACTTACACAAGTGCAAGTTCAGGAAGTGCAGCAAGTACTACACAAGTGGTATAGTCCGTCAACCCGTACTCTTATGAATAGTCTTGCTAATTTGTAAGAGTACGGGTTGCTACCGGCTCCAAGTAGCCTACTACTAAAAAATGCTCTCGTGGTAGTCTCCGAGGCGGTCTCTAAACAGCCTTAAATTTAAGGTAATAATGGGCTTTATATAGTCAGACCTTAAACCATTAAACCACTTTAATCAGTTTGTACAAACCAAGACTGAAATCTTTCAGGGATTTGGCCTTTGAGAATATTTGTACTGCTTAAACAGTGGATTTAGTGCCATTCTCTACCTTCATCTACAGTTTCTCACCAAGATTGCCAGTTACGATGCATCCCACTTATTGGACTTATTTCAGGAGTAACTGATCTAAGTTTAAGCCAACTAGTACCATCACGCAGATGACTTTATCTGACAAGCCATACTGAACGGGAGCCCAGTAGCTACGCCTCTCCATCGGCAATATATCCTTTCCACCGTCAACTGTCCACGCAGAATCCCTCAGCAGCCCGCGTACACTACACACACAAAGCCGAGGCAATTTACCAGTGACGGCGGCGGCAGGAGCGTCGCGGGTCACCAGGCTCTGGAACAGCTGATTAATGTTGACATTGTTGATGGTGTTGACGTCCAGAGCCCCGACCTCCAAGTTCTCACAGCTGACCTTCCCTGTGGAGCCAAGGAGAGTCATTAGGGGGTACAAGAGCAGCCAAGGCGACTAGCAGAGGGAGGAGAGAGATAGGAGGGCTGCAACAATATACAATTTGACAAATTTTTAATTTCCTGGAAGATTAAGAACCATCACGAGGAAGAAAATTTAAGATCCTTGCATAAATGGATCTAGTGTCAGGTCACTAGCACCTCTACCTACCAGCGTGGGACTGGGGGCCGGTAGTCAGAAGGAGGACATCATTGCTGACGGAGACGGCATCTACAGTCCCTCTCGAGGTCACCAGAGAGGCACTCACACCGCCCAGGAAGGTCACCTCACCACTGATAGTGTGTCCACCGCCAAGGGTCACATACTCCGCCATTGGGCGATTCAGCAGCTTCGTCACCGCTGCTTTGCCCTACAAGTACACACTTTATGGGTGTGGTGGTTAAATGGGAACATTTAAATCAACTTTTGCTGAAGTGAACTACCGGTAGAATAATCAACGCGAGAGCAGCCTCAATATAGGACCTTAATGTGAAGCCAACAGCTAATTGGGCATTTGCAGAAATTTACAAGAATGGAGGACTTTTTGCGGAAAACGTACCATTGTGGACGATGACTGTGGGAATACATAGCCGTATAAAAGGCTGTAATAGCGATTAAAATTTAGTCATTGTCTACTTTGTGTAGTAAGCAAATTTGCTAACAAAATTTATGAAGCAATTAAATTCAGCTCTAATTTAAATAAATACTTATAAAATGCTTAAATAAAATTACACAGGAATATCAATTTTATGTGCAAGTCTAACAAGACAAGGTCGAACTTTAAGCTCTTTCCTGAGCGCCAAGCTCAGGAAAGAGCCAAGCCATTACGACTATATAGGAGTCTTGAGCAAGCGTTTCAAATCTTTAAAGCGTTGTAATGGCGAATGCAGAGAGTTCAGAAGATCGCTTTCAATGTTATTTATTGCCACGTGCAGGAATTCAACACAAGGCTCCCAGGATCTACACAAGGTGCTATTCTAGCAAGAATGCAGGTGGGGGAGAATACACAAGCCACAAACGAAGTAGTGTGCACATGAACAAAATAAGCTTCACATTTCAAATGCGAAGCCTTATACAAGCCTAGTATAATTCTCCCCCCCCCCCCTACTTTAATCCTTTCCCTTCCCCTCTGACAAGGACAACCGAGTACAGTTTAGAAGAGAAGTGTGTGTGTGTGTATATAAGAAAAACGCCCGAACACCGTACCTGTATTGCCACATGGTGGAAGTGGATTTTCTGAAGTTGAAGCACAGTTGACCCAGAGATCTTCAGTAATTGACGTTTATTTACCATTACTTGGTTATTGACCTCTGTCACCAGAAGGTCAACGACGGAGGAAGTATTTGAGGTGCCTCTGGCGTCAAAGTTGGCAAGATGAAGGTTAGCTGGAAGATTTTAAATTTTGCCAAATTAGCATTAAGAAAAATTTAACAAAATTTCACAATACTACACACCTGGTCTTAAAGTTAAGTGCTACGTCAAATGAATCTAGTATGCAAGAAAATTACTAAATTTAACTTTTGGGTCGCACTGTAAATTAACGAGTAAAATTAATTTATATTAATTTTATATGTTAAATTACTAAAATTATATTAATATATTAACCCAATACAACTGCAACAATCACTACCCCAGACGTCTCCTGGGAAGAGGCAATCAAAATTTTTATAATACAAGAGACATTTAACTTCAACTACTTCGCATTGCATCAAACAATTTAAGAAAGATTTTACACTAGAAATAAAGCATTTCTACAAAATTTATTATTCAACCCATTAACACAAATCACAGGTGCGTACGGTAACATTCCAGTCTGTCGCAGAGTCTGCACGAAGTATGAACTAACCTGGCCAGGTGACAGGGCCTTGGAGGGGTATAGTGGCCTGGAGACGCAGTTTAGCCCGCTGGAGTTCCTGCTGAAGAAGCACTCGTCGGGGAACGAGTGCGTTCACCTGATCCGGAATCCAGGCGTCTTGTCCACGAACGTACACCTGCTCACGAACACGTTATTGTACTCTGTGCTATCAAGTGCATCATCGAACCGAAACCGATTCATCATTAATTACACTTACGACTGTACAGCCAATGTTACAACAAATTACAGCAAGTTTCACAAATAATGGCAACAATGGCAACATTGACAATAATGACAGTCAATGTTACACCAAGAGATTGGGGTTCAAACTTCTATCTACATCTGCGTCTAACCTGTATTCGCCTTGCCCTTAATTTTAAAGGCCTGCACACTGCAGCCCTTGCAACGTTTCGCAAAACAGCCAGGAAGGTGAAAGTGATATTCACATGTACTCTGGCAATCTTACGCCTAATGTCTAAACTTTTAGGACTTTTCGTGCCTATTACATTTGTTGTAATAGAGCATCTATTTTCTTCCCCATTCCAAAGACCCGTTGAACTTCCATGTCCTCTGATAACTTGGTTATTGCCATAAACACTTAATTATATAGACTTCTTGACGACGAACTGGACTGAGTATTTGCATAGAGAACTGGCTATCAATGCTTTTAGTTCAGTGGCGGCGGAAACTATTCATTAAAACATTGAAGGGATAACTACATTTCTAGTAGGCCGCTTAGATCGATGCAAGTAAAATGACTAACAGCTTGGATGCTCTAGGAGACTAGAGTAGAGAACCCGACTGCTACATGCACTGTCGACTCTTCATGGATCTTATACGAACCACAAGGCATTAAAATCCGAAGCAAAACTAAAAACTTTAATATTAAATTGTCTATTACCACCACCAGTTTTAAAAGTTGCTGTAACCCACCTGAGTGGCAGAACTCTTCAGTTTCACACTGAGGTTGCCGACGATAGTGACAGGCATGGTGAAGGTGAAGTTTTGACTGGTGACCTTCGGGGCGTCACGCAGCTGCTGGAGGAGCACCGCCAGGTCCTGACGTCTTAGCTGGTTGAGCCGCTCCTTACACCAAGCCTCGGATTCCTCGTGAAATTCCTAGAGTGATACATGGTAGTCTAGAGATTATAGATTCACTCTGTGGCAGTTTCTTTTTAATGCTCAAACTTCTTCCCATCGAAGACCGTCTTCACATGACTGCTAGCTATACCTACTAGCCACACTTAATGGCTAGCCGAGCTCAAGGGGAAGACCTTCAGTCAGTATAGCAGAAGGTGCACCATCTCTACTTTTAATATGCGTGAACAGTAATGAGACCAATACACAATTTGGCTAGTTTTCTTTTTCTCTGCAACTTCACCGGTTCTCTCGCCAGAGGCTTTTAGAGAGTTTAGGATGGTGATGTAGAGGTGACGGGAAGGCAGAGATGGGACACTGGGGCTGTCGTACACACGGGCCATGCCGGGTATTTTAATGGAAAATGAGAACTTTACGAGCCATTCCCTTTCAATTACATAAATTATTAGAGTTTGAGTAATGTTTCCAAGAGTTTTATTTATCCAAGACTGGCAAACAGCTGGGCGCAAGTGATACTGTGTAATTACTATTGTGGGATAATTTAATCCGCTTCCATTTATATACATCTTTAGAAGCACAAGTAAATTAACGGCTTTACTAGTTTATACTTTGACTACTTTCCGGTCAATTCCAGAGGCCTTTTAATTTAACTACCCCAATTGTTCTTGGCTCATTATTGAGTTACCCTTGGTTCACAAGTTGAGGACTATAGCTCAAGTTCAATGAAATCAATTTGCTTCGCAATTCATGTAGGAACGGTTTTTCTATTTTAGATAGATGGGGGAAATATTTAAAGGTTTTGTCTTTATCGAATCACGAGGGCTGTACAGTAACTTTACAGTTTTGTGGGTACAGGGCTAACACCACCACCGCCTAATCTTGCCAGAAACACAGGAAGCTTGAGGAAGGTTTGGAAGAGAGGGGGGGGGGGTGTTAAACCATTAGACGCCTACTCTTTCCCTGAAATTGCATACCACAATAACAGGTTGTGAAAGCAATGCAGAAAATTTAGTGATTACGTAGCTGCTGCAACATTAGGATCAGTGGGTTGATAAGAATGCAACCACCAACGATTCATTTTGAGGAAAGTGGTAAAACAAAATACTCTAGACTTGGATACCCCGTGTGAAATTGGCACAGATTCCAGAATGCCAAATATCAGCATTGTGGAGAAAATCCACGACAGCCCACTGGAACATTTCAGTCAAACTGTCCGATGAACTAAACACTATTTCAGAGACTGAAAAGTCTTCCTCTGCGCTCTAAAACCCATTAGACTCAATATTGCTGAAACCAAGTCATGTTATCTTCCACCGCCCAAGACAAACTAGTGACAACGGGCCACCCAGAGGCTTTGGGATTGCACAGGGCTATCCAGATATCCCTCCCCCTCCCCCCCAGGCCTGTCACTAACCTGTAGGGAGGCGTCTCTGCTGAGAGTCAGGCTGTAGAGTGTAGAGACGAGCGGCGAGGAGTAATTGGAGTTTTGATTAGTCACGCCTGGAAAGTTAAATACGATTAGAAACTAGAAATTTTTATCAAGTGCTAAAACCACCCCTACAAAAAATTCAGCACTGATCTAATATAAATGTAATTTAAGTCTTCAAGACGGTTCTTTGAGAATAACTCTTGACAACTAGTTCAAGAGCTTCGAATCCTCTCATGACCTGAAGGTAAGAAAAACACTTTCTTTGGGGCTCTACTGTTATCAAACTTTTGCACGTTTGAGGAAAAATTCAGGTTTTAAAGAACACTCCTTTTTACCGAATCTTGCCCCCTGGAACACCGACGATAAGAAAGTGCCGTTATATGAAAGCTAGTCAACCCCACCCAAATATAAAAATCTAGAGCTTACCAAGTCCCCCTATCTGGTATAGTCCCCCTTCCACTGTACCCTAGGCTCCATTCCACACTTGATACACACCTATAACCACACTGCCGTTCCAGGAGCGGGCAGCCATGGCGGTAACACCAGCGCTGAACGGGCCAGAGTTGGGCTGGAAGGCGCTGGGCACGAACCTCCAGCCGTTATACTGGTAGAAGGTGACCCCCGTGAGCGTGTTCGCCACAGCCAGCACCACACCGTCCTCCACCTACCCCGGCCAGTGGAAACAAATTTAAAAACTATTTACCTACGTAGAAGTTACCAAAACAATTGCGTAATGCCCAAGATGTAATAAGATACTTTATACAACTACACTTTAAAAATGATATTACGAGTGTATGTGCAATATTTTACAAATTAGATTTGTATAACTTTCAGGAACTTCATTTTAAACTACACCGTCACGGACCTGAATGGCAAGCCACTGAACAGCGTATGCAGTTGGTATCTCCTGGAAGAGAACAAACTTCCCGAAGTGGAAGCGATAGATCTTAGAGTTTGTGTACGGATTACATCTGCCTGAAAATATAAATTCAAATTCTCGTTCACTTGCTGCAAAATTACACTTTCTCGTATTTTAATTTTCATTCTAATTTAGTCTAAAATGCCTTTCAGAATAGACCACGTTAAAGCTTTGAAAGCTAAATTTCATCTACATTTCCTTCAAAGGGCGACTCTAGTTACTTACCCATGCTGCTGTCCTCATAGTCCTCGCAGGAGTTCGCGACGGCGAGATGTATGTGGGGAAACGCTCCACTGCCCAGGGTAAAGGCCTCGAAGTGCCTGGCACCCTTGGTCAGCAGCTGCTGGAAGTGAACGTATCGCTGCAGGTTGAGCGAGTAGCGATAGATGTAGCTGTGGCAGTTGTGCTCGCCTGTGGGGAAGGGGTTAAATGACTTGAAAGACGGGAAGAATTTGCACCGTTTGTGTCACTACGGAGGATAATACCCGAGCAAATAATTAAAGTAAACTAAATGGCCAAGACTTTTCAAGCACGCATTCAATATATTTCACCCGTCAAGAACCTACAGAAATTTGTTGGTGTGCATTTGCAAGTCTCACGCTGACGTAGTCAGAAAATTTACCTAGAAAGATGTTTAAGTACAGTATACGATTTTGACAATTTATAAGTGCCGTCAAACGCTCGACAATTGGCAGTGCCATTTCCCTATTGTAATTTTTTCTAGAGAAAAACCCTTACAGGAAATGTATTAAAATTACGCTACCAAACTTTTGTAATTCATCAATTTGGCAAGTGTCATAAGAAAACCTTTTCTATTGTGACAATGAATCTGACGGCAGATTAGAGTCCAAGGTAGAGCCCAACCACTGCCCTCGTCTAGTCTTCAGCACCTATTGAAAATGTACAAGCGTGATCATGTACTCACTGCTGTTTGCCACCTGGTAGAAACTAGTGAACTGACGTTAAAAATGGCTATGTAATCGCGACACTTTATGCAGGTGAAAGCTGCAGTGCCAGCTTACAATCTTTAAATTTTGCCATCTTGTACAATAGACGATTTTAGGCACTTAGAACTAGGAAAGCACGATAGGCTGTTTTACAAAATACCGAGATTAACAGGCTGCTCTGAGGTAAATTCGTGCGCGAGGGAATCATTACTTTTAGAGATAACTGGAAAAGATAAGCTTGAATGGCAAGTCGTTAATGGATAACCTAGAAAAATTTAGAGTTAAGGGTTGGAGAAGTGAGATTTCTAGTAGTGACTTGCTTGGTTTGGTCTACAAACCAAATTATGAAAACTTTCAAAGCTTTACCTTCAAAGCAGGCTCTTGTCTGCAGAAATAGAGTAGAGAATAACGCCTTGCCTATCTTTAAAAATATTAGGGTCCCATCTTTGATATTTAATACCTTTATTATTGATGAAGTTTGCCATGGCAATAAAGTTGTAAGTCTGAGCCCTGAAGTGGAGGACAGAAGTCGGGTGTGTGCCAGGAAGTTCGTGAACCAAGTCGAAGTACTGGCCGGTCCAGTGGTAGATGCTGGAGGTGGTGTGGTAGGTGGAGGGACCATCTGCCTCGGGCCCTTCATCGGCTGCTCTCTTTACCATGGCGTCAGCTACCATCAAGTACCATCGTTCCTCCTGGAGCCTGTGGGCGTGAACGCATGTCAGATCTAAAAATTCTCCGGGGAAGGGAAAGAATTATGGGAAAGCCTAGCCAAGATCTATTATAGTTTATAAAATCTGCATTTCAATATTAAGTAGAACTTAATATTTGTATAAATCAAATACTAAATGCAGTTTAATTTTTATGTTTAGCGACTTCCACAATTTTCAAAAACATTCTACAAAAATCAGACCAAGTTTGCTTGCCATATGTGCACGTCTGAGGGGCTGTGTGTGGGTATACTCTGCAGGATGCTGACTATGATGTTGGGGTTCCCCGGCGCCGCCTCCCTCAGTAGGAACACAGTAGCCTCGGCCGACCCCCGTGCCGGCCGAGGAATGAAGCTGCCGGCCTCGTAGGGCGAGTCCCGAGGAATACATATTAGCAGCAGACTTTCTAGCGAGACCCGAGCCATCCGACATTTGAAAAAACCGGGGCTTGTCCACACCACTGTCGCCTGACGGTGAAATATTACGCATTTCAGAATACCCGTTATGGCAAACTCTTAAATCTATTACAGAAATCACAATAGCGTAGGCATCATATGATCAAATCTAAATACAAGATAAATCTTTCAAATCTGCAGAAATTTGTTAAAGTTACTAAATTAAACGCCTGCAGACTTCACTTTCTAGAGCAAAAATAATGTGGTACAGTCTGTACTATCAAGAACTTAAACATTGTGTCGAGGGTGGTGTTTATAATCTAAATACATAAAAGGCATTAGAAAATGCTAATTTTTGGCAAATTTTTTGGCCTGTCAAAATATCAGTCGCCAGCATAGATTACAGAAAGCTATGGCTAAACTTTCCATAAAGCAAGTTTTTGCAACTGAAAAATATGCAAAAAAATCCGCTTCCACTAGGCATCATAACTGCCTTTGCAACTGCTATAATACAACGGGAGAAAAGCTAGAGGGTATATCTCATGCTCCGATAGACTACCACAAATATTTGAACCATGGGACTGAAAAACCAAACTCCTACAATCTGGCATGACAAGTCCAATGTTCAAAACATTATGTTAATGTCTACTGTATTTTTTAATTTGAAGATGGGAACTTGCCAAAGGCTTCGTTGGCATAATGTGACGAAGTCAATCTCTAAATTTAATTTAAGAGAACCCGAGAAGAGCATTCATTAAACATCTATGTATGCTGTATCCGCTATGCATGTCAATTGTGGGAACCGACCTGTGAGATTTATATTTATTTAATTTATATGAATTTATATTGACGTTAATATTATACTTCGATAGCAATTTGTATAATGATAAGTGGACTGTATTTCTGCAATAATCTCATAATCTCACAAATCGATCCTCTACACATTAGGGAGGGTTTATTAAATTAATATATATGCAGCCAATCAAACTACAGTAATAGCTACATACATTGATGAGGTTCCTTCTCTTATAGTACAGCAGGTTAGTCCACCAGGTATAACTAGAGTGTAGACACCAAATTATCCTCTTTGAGGTAGCTTCTATCACCCAGTAACTGGTGCACATAATCTTGCATCCTCGTCTTGACCTGTCAAAAGTGCGCTAGCTGTGAAGCCAGAATCCTATATATGACAAGCTATATCAGAGAAAACACTATACAGTACATGGAACATTAAAGACCTGGCTTAATTACCTTTAGTATGAGGCGATTTCGCGTTCTAACCGGCTAACCCTATATCCTGACATTAATGGCCATAAATGAATGATAAACGGGTTTCGGATAGACACTTAACTTGTATTTGTAGACAGCGTGTTGACAATGGTACACCTTTGGGTTCCATAACACTACGTCCAAGTAAATTTAACAGGAGCCGAATTTGCTCCCGTGTGAGCCTCCGGTCTCAATAACACAACAATGGCTGCCCTCCTTCCTCCACTCTGACGCCTGGCTTACATTGTCCAGATTTCAGAACGTGATAGAAGGGTCACATTTACTCTACTTTAATATTGATAATTAAGTTAATTTATATGAGATGTTTTTGTGATGGTAAAGTCCAAAGACTAATGTATTTAAGAATAATTCCCACCATAATAGGTGGAGAATATAATAGTATGTGGTGATGATATCCCGTTTTCTTTAGACGGTAATTCCACTACAAGTTACGTTTTCTATGGGTAACTTGTTGGTAATACAGCAGCAAATATTATCTGTCTGTATGATATTAAATGGTGTCGGATTTTCCGACATAATTCCCCAGGGGCTGCTCACGGGTCGAAGTCCTAATTAGAACAGACGAACACCGATACTCCTCCTTCGAATTATTAGATTAATTTGATGTTAGTAGTTAGTAATCACACATTTGTGCGTCTGTTCGTACAGGACGGATGTCCCGTACTAGAGTTGCAAGGGTTAGAAGTCTAATGCGATTTCATTTCCCTGTCAACTCTTGAAAGGCTAATATTCAAGCCTTATTACATATTATTTAACCCAGAAGACTGGATGTGATCAAGTACTACAGTCAAGTATGATTCAGGGACTGCAGTGAGATCAGTGACATTAGATATAACTTGAAGTTTCTTCAGGTAACTGGTCACTGATATATAAACACTGAGGCCCATGGAATACATCTTGATTAAATAATAAATGTATCAAATCAGTCATCAGATTTATTAGGGTTTAATTTAGTTAATTGATTCAGAAGATTGAATAGCTCATCATTAAAGTAAAGTATGGTTCTGAGACTGCAGTGGGTTCAGTGACATTGGTCGCAGTGACTTGTAGCTGTTTTAGGCTACTGTTCACTGATTTGCCACTGAGGCCTCATGAACTCATCTTCAGCTTTAAATGATGATACTAACATCAACCTCTGTTGGTATAGTCAGCTGTAATCTCCTTAGTATAATGCTACTGGAGAAATATAATCAGCTGACAAATTTAGATTTCTACTGGTATTGTTTATCTGCAGGCATAGGTCTCCTCAGGCTTGATACTGGGCCTGAGAGTAATTTACCTCCTGCAGAGTTTAACATGGTTATGCCCTGATATTTAGTAGGGCTACCAATGAATTGATGGTAGTAGTCTGTCCCCACAAGGACAGCCATTTGGCATTTGATTTGCTCAAATTTACCTGCAGCTGCTTGATAATAGCTTTCCAGGTCAGCATAATCAACTTGAGATTGTTGTGACAAATCTTCACATTTCTTGATCTGTCTTGTTAAGTGGCCTTTAAGACCTGCAAGGGTTCTTTTCATTCTCCCTGCATTATCCATACTGGCTCGTTGGTGAAGCCTTGTGGGGCTTGTACTTGGGCTGCTCATAATACTGAACAAACACTAATGGTAGCCTAGGGTAAATTCTGAACTCACTAGGCAATAATCCTACCTCTACTAGAGGTTAGCACTTAAAATTAATACACATTATATATATACAATCATACACACTAATGATTTGAGTGATAAACCAGTGTCACTGGAAGTACCTTTAGGTTAGCTCTTCTATATCACCCTAGGATGGTAGAGACACTAATTAATCACTCAAAGGTGTAATGATCATAAGTAATTTATTATATATACACAACTCAACTCGAGTTGATAAAAATTACACCGAAAATAGGGTCTGGACCATTCATTAATGGTGTTAGGTTGTTCAATATAGTACAACTGACTATTGTAATAATGGGACTAGGATGAACGATAATAGTTCAACTAGTCAATGGTTAATATCCTACCCTGTTGTGGGTTGGCAATTAGTAAATATTATACTGTGATCACTAGTGCAATATATATTAAATAATTCTCTATTTTGGAGAAATAATATACACAATTATTGATAATAGCCTCTTAATTAGCCTCTATGAAACTTCTAATATTATCTAGAAGTATTAAATATTATTAGTGACCTCGCGAAATAAAGTCCACAAAATTCGTAGATAATCTCTCGCGAAATGTAACACCACGAAATCCGTGAACAATCTCGCGAAGACACAGTCACTAATTTGGCTGGATTCTATATTAGCGCTGTCATTTCACGAAATAACACGCCACCAAATATCTGTGGGTGTGCATGAAACCGCTGACGAAGGCTGAACTGGGCTGAGGGAGGCTCCTGAGCTCCCACGAGGCTTCGCCGCTGTCTTGACTGCTGGCTTTGTTTAAATAACACTGCACTAGTATATTTAATGAATCCACTGGTTAACTGGTTCATCCGGTACTAAGATGACCAAATGTGGGTTCAAAGGATCAAATAATCCGTCATCCGGTTCGAAGATGACCAAATAATGTGGGAACCGACCTGTGAGATTTATATTTATTTAATTTATATGAATTTATATTTACGTTAATTTATATACTTCGATAGCAATTTGTATAATGATAAGTGGACTGTATTTCTGCAATAATCTCATAATCTCACAAATCGATCCTCTACACATTAGGGGGGGTTTATTAAATTAATATATATGCAGCCAATCAAACTACAGTAATAGCTACATACATTGATGAGGTTCCTTCTCTTATAGTACAGCAGGTTAGTCCACCAGGTATAACTAGAGTGTAGACACCAAATTATCCTCTTTGAGGTAGCTTCTATCACCCAGTAACTGGTGCACATAATCTTGCATCCTCGTCTTGACCTGTCAAAAGTGCGCTAGCTGTGAAGCCAGAATCCTATATATGACAAGCTATATCAGAGAAAACACTATACAGTACATGGAACATTAAAGACCTGGCTTAATTACCTTTAGTATGAGGCGATTTCGCGTTCTAACCGGCTAACCCTATATCCTGACATTAATGGCCATAAATGAATGATAAACGGGTTTCGGATAGACACTTAACTTGTATTTGTAGACAGCGTGTTGACAATGGTACACCTTTGGGTTCCATAACACTACGTCCAAGTAAATTTAACAGGAGCCGAATTTGCTCCCGTGTGAGCCTCTGGTCTCATAAACAACAATGGCTGCCCCTTCCTCCCTCTGACGCCTGGCTTACATTGTCCAGATTTCAGAACGTGATAGAAGGGTCACATTTACTCTACTTTAATATTGATAATTAAGTTAATTTATATGAGATGTTTTTGTGATGGTAAAGTCCAAAGACTAATGTATTTAAGAATAATTCCCACCATAATAGGTGGAGAATATAATAGTATGTGGTGATGATATCCCGTTTTCTTTAGACGGTAATTCCACTACAAGTTACGTTTTCTATGGGTAACTTGTTGGTAATACAGCAGCAAATATTATCTGTCTGTATGATTATTAAATGGTGTCGGATTTTCCGACATCAATTCTAGAGCTTTATATTTTATCTACAATACCTACAAGGTATTCTAGAATACACTATTACAGACTACCGATTTAGTCAAATTACCACGGTAATCTGAAGTAATGCAGTATATATATATATATATTATATATATATATATATATATATACACAATCTACATGTTACTATGTAGATCTTACAAGTACTTTCTGAACAAGATAGGTAGTGATATTCCATTAGTCTCTTCACAAACCCCCCCCCCCCCACACACACAATCTCATGACTAAAGGGGAGATGATGCCACCCCAGAGGTGGCACGGGCATGAATAGCCCGTAAGTGGTACAATTTTTTTGTTCAGTAAATCTTTTCAGTGTTCTGAGGTCGCATTTAACCGTCAAGCCGCTATCGCGGGGGAAGAATACTGCTTGAAAGGGTATGGGAGGGAATGTTTTCGGTCAACAACCATTGCCCTAGGGTGTAGTAACTTAATGTTTACCAGACTACACTAGAAGGTGAAGGGACGACGACGTTTCGGTCCGTCCTGGACCATTCTCAAGTCGATATGTTCTAATAACTTTATGTTCTATGATCAACACATCACCTTTAATGAGCGTTGGTCGAGGGAGTAGAGGGAGAGGTTGAGGTCAATGTCGATGATAGTTACAATGAGTCTTCCTCTCCACAGCGCCATGTCGATGTCCCGCGACCCGTCCACAGGCAGCCTGGTAGCGTCCCTCAGTCCCTCCACCACCAGCACGCCTGTACCAAGAACAGCGAGTTAACCCGTGCCTGGTTAAGTTGGTTAGTTATAAGCAAGGTTATAACCAAGTTTACAGTCTTTAGACTCGTCAGTGAGGGAACCGACTTACCGTCGTGGTCCTTGTACAACGGCAGGTCAATAGGGTGATTCCTCTTCGTCCTATGGCGTTGCTGGGTACCAATGCTATTAACACTGTCCACCAGGCGCTTCTCTAGAAGTAGATAATGTGCTGAAAATCTAAATCTCTTGCAAGTTGTGTAAAACTGTTACAACCGATTACAGAGCCTTAAATTAAAGAGTTTATGTACGTAATTTGTACTATTAAGTACTCATTGAAACTAGTTACTTTATAATAGGAATATCAAGTCATGACTTCCAGTTTGCTTACCTCGCTGAAGGACTTTGGTACCGCGGGTGCGCGCGTTGATCAAGTCTTCAGCCCTCGTCAGCAGCCGCTCCCTGAAGGCGACTAAACGATCCGCTGATAAAAAATGGATTAGGTCATTAGTGTCAGGGGCCAGATTCACGAAGCAGTTACGCAAGCACTTTCGACCCTGTACATTCTTAATCTTTGGCGACTTTATTTACAATTATTAAACAGTTAATGAGCTCCGAAGCACCAGGAGGCCGTTTATAACAGTCGATTGGCAAGTTTTCATGCTTTTAAACTGTTTAATAAATGTAAACAAAGCCGTTAGAGACTGAGGAAAGATGTACACGTTCGTAAGTGCTTGCGTAACAGGGTCATGAATGAAGCCCCTGGGTACCAGGAGCCGTGACCCGACCAACGCCACCATATAACCGACCACCACATCTAATACTTTAGCCGTGCTGGGGTTGCAGAACCTTGGGCCTTTTGTGTGTATTTTGAAATACCACCTATTGACTATTGCTCTTCCAACTACTTATAAGGGGGGGGGGGGGGGGAAGAAATGAGGGGTCATGGTAAAAGGTTATATATAAATGAAGCCTCTACCTCCCTACCCACCCCAGCTACACCATCTTTCCCTTACTAGAAAGGAAAGTTAGGAAAGAAATTAAATTTAGTTACCGAAGAAGTATTTAGCAACTGAGAAGAATCAAGACTAGAATTCGGGAAATTCTAGGGGTTAATTAGGGCATTTGGAATGTATGGTACAACATTTTTACAAGTAACCAGATCAGTTACTGCAATTAATAAATTTAATGTATTATGCAAAGAGGACCAACTTAAAGATTAAAGTATAGATATGGCAAAACTAGAAGCAGCTGGAACCCCTTTGGATTCAGCTACTCTGAACAGAAGTTCCTAGTAGCACGGGCTATGGCGAGCCCGTAGTGAACTTTGAACAGGAGCCCCTCTGGAACCTGTTAGGTAAAGAGGGTAGAGGTTTAACCAGAGCCAAAAAAAAAAAAAAATAAACCCTAGTAAGCACAACTGGGCGGTTACTACTCACGGCGCTTTAGACCATCTTCTTGCAGAAGGAAAGGCCGAACTTTCCGCCAGAGGGAGTCGAAGGCGCCAATTAAGGCTCCACCGCTGGCGTCTGCTGCATCGTCGCCACCAACCACCGAAGTGTTCCTCCACCCAGCGTTGACAGTACGGATGTTCCCGCCTCCAGATGGACTAGACCCATTGCGACTGAAAATTGTTTTCATTGCAATCATGAATCAAGACTACCTTTGTTAAATTAATCTATTATAGGTAATTATGAGATTAACCTCTGTACATTTCAGGCGTTTTATACCTTTTCATTTTTTATATCTATAGTAAATGGACCCATGCATCTCTATGCATGGAAATTACTAATTTTTACGAAACTACATACATTAACAGGCCTAACTAGCAATATTTGTAACATTTAATTTTAAGAATTTATAGTGGCATACAATTCAAAGTTTCGTGCTAAAAATTAACAGCGTTAAATTCTTATTGTATAATTTTTTTACCATCTTCGCCTTGTGCTCTCACCTGAGAAGGGGCGCTGGAGGGAGGGAGGCAGGAGAGAGGGGGAGGAGTGAGAGGCACCAGGTGGCCAGGAGGCAGCGTACCAACCACCACAACCTCATGGTTCAAACGCGCCTCAACCTGCAGGTATTAAATAATCAAGTCAATTGCTCAGCGTGGACACGCTGTAGACGAGTCAACGTGGCTGAAAAATGCTAACTAAACCACACACTAGAAATTGGAGACGGCGTTTCGGTTCGTCCTGGATCGAAACTTTAATTTGCTGCAATTACTTTCAGAATCTCTTCTGATTAAGAAATCCACAAGGGCCGTGACTAGGATTCGAACCTACGTCCGGGAGCATCCCAGACGCTGCCTTAATCGACCTTGCTATGACATGGTAAAAAAAAAGTGTTACTCTTCCGATACATCTTACGCAAGCACTTGCTTGCCAAGGATTTGTTATACCTAGAGCTTTGGCTTTCTGGAAATTTACTACGTTGCTTCAAGTAGCGTTACATTTATAGGTTAGCAACCATCTACTACAAGCCAGAACCATGACGCACTCGCGTCTGAACTTCTGTTCAGAAATCTAATTTAGTCATTAGCAATTTGGTTAATATTCTCAGCCTAATCGAGGTAACAATTGCACATGTTACCGTCTGCAAGAGATTTAACCAAATTACACATTCGCATTAAACAAAAACCAACTTTGCACGCAATCATGAAACACTTATGGCTTATTAGACATGTATTTAGTCACCACTAAGCAATGAATAACCATGAATAACAAGTTTTTAGATGTTAAAAGTATAAGCAGCCAAATAACTTCCAAATTGGTAATTGACATCAGTTCTCAAAATAAACTAGCACAAAAGGGCACAGATTAGAGGAAAATCATGAACCCTCGAGTTAAAATCTAACATATACGCTTCTAATAGCTCATTACATTTAGTCTAATATGGTCCACAATCTTTTAGCCAGTGCACGTGAGGATTCCCTCTCCCCCTTCCTTAAACTGGATTTCAAGGTAGCCAGGCTTCACCTGGCTCCACTTTCAAGAGAAGCTGGCCAAATGGAGAAAGACGTACTTAATCTCCAATACGGTAGCCTATTCTCGCAAGCGTTCTTAATGTAAATAAAGAGTTTTTAGTGCCTTATCCTTACCAGAGAACCTAATTACAGAAAACTGGACTGGAAAAATTTCGCAAGCCGTTTCCATTTTGTACTAAACCTAGGGGCTAGATTCATGAAGTAGTTACGCAAACGCTTAGGAACCTGTCCCACTTAATCTTTGGCGGCTTTGTTTACAATTATTAAACGGTCATCGAGCTCTGAAGCACCTGGAGGCTGTGACAATAACAGTCGATTGGCAAGTTTTCATGCTTGTAAACTGTCGAATAAATGTAACCAAAGCCGTTAAAGAGCGAGGAAAGATGTACACGTTCGTAAGTACTTGCCTAACCGCTTTGAGTCTGGCCGCAGGTTAGTGCCCTTTGTAAATTATAAGTCAAAATCCAATGTGCTATTAAGGAGACTAGTTACGTATCCGAATTCAAACATTATCACTCCAGACTACCTTCTCAAGCGGCTCAATGACCGTTCTAGAAGATCAAACATCGTCACACAGTTCGCGGTGTCGCCAGACATTACACTGCCTCAGCTTTCATAAATTTCTAGTTACATAGTAACATTCAAAGTAGTTCTCTTATTAACTATACTGTTGTAGGAGTTGAATCAATATATCTAGCAACTATTTGTTGCCAGTTTAGAGTACTATATTGCTAGCGTTTTACAAGTTACGTTTTACAAGTTAGCTCAGTCGATTAAGGCAGTGTCTGGGATGCTCCCGGACACAGGTTAGAATCCTCGTCACGGCCCTTGTGGATTTGTTCAGTTACTAGACTAATTCCAGAGATTAAACCTTGCATACGATTTAGCGACTTAGTCTCCCGATTGTTGTCTAAAGCCGATCTAAGGTATATGGAAGAAAAAAAAAAATTATGGAAATTTAGTCACGTGCTAAATTATCCTCCCTCTGACAATGAGACCGATGTCTCAAAAAATATCAAAATTATCACAAAACTAAAAAATATTCCTTTAAAATCTCTACACATCAATGTGTAGCAGGTCTGGCGAATATATCATCCTATCTAGTCTGGCGAATACCCGCAGTGTGCTCTGAAGACAACACAAAATCCCACAGTTTGTAGAAACCCGATTACAGTCTTTTGTAATCAGTCATACTCATTACACACTGCAAATGTCACCTTCTGTCACGAGGTCGAGAGGCAGACGAGAGTTGTCTACCCGCGGTTGGGAGCCAGAGACAACTACAGAAGGAAGGCAACCAGCGACTTAACAACGACATGGATTCGAACCCCAGGTCGAGACTTGTGAAGCATGAAAACCTGGTAACAGCCCAGCCCGTCCTCCAAACAAAGATCCAAAAGTAATTCCATGCACCCGCCAAACCCCCTGTTTATGAATGAAAAGCGGTTTACACACGACTCACAACTGCTGACGTTCGAACATATCCGGAACAAGTGCTTCACTGACGAATTTTGTTCGAATCGCAACGCTATAAATGCTTCACCCACGTACTACAAATACAAATAATCGCCAACAGAACCTAAACACCTAACCTAACCTATATATGCATAATATGCTAATATATTATAATACAAATTTATATTTGAGAAAACTCCCGTTTTCAATGAACAGTATGTACAAATTTATGAATGCGTCTGTGGGGTCGACCACTGGATGGAATAGACTTGAGTCGAGGACGGGTTGCACCCTGATGCGCCTGTTCACCTAGCAGTAAAATAACTACATGGGAGTTAGCTGCTACGGGCTGCTTCCTGGGGAAATGTAACAAAAAGGAGGCCTGGTCGAGGACCGGGCCGTGGGGATGCTAAGCCCCGAAATCCTCTCAAGATAACGTCTAGATAGAGAACCGACTGTTAGAAAGGCGGGGTCCAAGAACTAACACCCCGATCCTGCAGGCACACATGGAAAATACACAAAATATCAAGAATACCTAACTATACAAGGTGTTTACATAACATATTTACAAGACATAGCGTAATACATAACATATTTACACACAATACATAACATATTTACAAGACAGCGTAATTACGGAGCATTTAAGTACTTAAACTCGTATTTCACTTCAAACTAACCAAATCAAATCAAAATACACAAACTGTGCTGAATGTTTGTTTGTACAATAAGAAAATAAACAATGCAAGGAGGATTGATGACGTTCCTATCGAGCTTCTGTTGTTTACATCCTGCCTGGTAAGTTCAACAGGTAAGGGCAATTCAACGCTATCCAGTGGTTGACCGCAGAATTAAAAACAGTTGCCAAGTGGCCATATACGCCCAAGAGCCGAAGATCTGAGCTTGGGTAGTGCAGTGTGGCGCCGCTAGTCACTCCAGACACAGCTCCGGGCTGGCACGCAGGACAGGGGACCACCTTCCAACTTGAGAAAGTTATTAAGAACGCGGGCATAAAAGGCAAGAAACCCCGACTGGTAAGATAACGGATTTCGTCTGCAAATTAGTTTTTAGGATCTTAAGAGCAGTAATTTTTCCATGAAAAGAAAGATCTAATCCGGAGATATTTGGAAGGGATGGATTTAATTGCTACGGGATGATGGAACTTTATATATATATATTTCTAGTTAGGAGCAATGCTGATCCCACCACCCCTACTTCTTAATAGTTTTCTCCTCTCACCACATTTGTTTCCTCTTTTCCTCTCGCCTACAAGCTGCCCCGTACTTAAATTATTACTATAAACACCTCCCAAATACAAGGAACCAAAACGGCCCATATAAACTAGTTTAAACCCTCTATATACAGTGTTATAACCCCATGTTACCCAGGAGCTTCAGGTGTGGCAGTCGGCTGACGGTGTTTACCTCGAGACCGCTGCTTGCCTTATAACACTGCGAAGATCACAAACTTTGTATACAATTGCAGAGAGGTTGGGAGCGTCGTAGCGACCTGACCCTGACGCCCACCGACGGGTGTAGTATACCTGACAATGTCGAGGTCATGTCCTCTACTGATAGTGAGTGCCTTGGTCCTGCTGCCTCTGACCACCTCCCTCGCTGCCATCCAATCCAGGCAAGTTGAATGGTCTATTTACAGTTGGTTTTAGATTTTTGCAATTGTGCATGATTGGTTAATATAAATAGTAAGGTTGACCAAACCACACATTAGAAGATAAAGACGACGACGTTTCGGTCCGTCCTGGACCATTCTCAATCGACTTGTTTCCGTCCGTTCTGGACCATTCTCAATCGACTTGTTTCCGTCCGTTCTGGACCATTATATCATCTCGTGTGCATGCGATGAGTCACAATAACGTGGCTAAAGTATGTTGGTCCAGGATGGACCGAAACGTCGTCGTCCCTTCACCTTCTAGTGTGTGGTTTGGTCAACATTTCTTCAGCCACGTTATTGTGACTCTTCATCTACATATCGAAGTAAGATTTACTATTAAATTACTCAGGAGAGCAACCTTTTGTTTTTCATGTGATCAGGAAAAGTCTGATCTTGGGACTTGGGTCCTAAGTTCTGATTAAAGATGACTAAGTCACCATAAGAGGTTGCACGGGCATGAGTAACCCGTAGGTCTTTGGAATGAATGTGATTTTTGGTCGTGTAACATCTTGAAGTGTCTGGGGCGCTTGTGCTAAACTCTCTAGGCCTACCCCGAGAGCCTCGTTAATAGTTCGGGTTAACAATGTAGATAGCATCCTCTCCTGGTAACAATTATTAACCTTAATAACATGTTCTGTCAATACCATCGCAAGTTAATGGACAATACAATAGACAATAAATTAAATGAGAATACAGTTTGAAACCAAGTTTTTGGAGTAATGCTATTTTTCTATTTGTTTAAATTTGTTTCTATTTAGGCCACTAGATATGGTACAGGTACATTCAGGTAAATTTTGGTGAATGTCAATTGCTATAATTGTGTGAATTTGTCAAATTATCTTATTTCGAAGGACCATAAAAATCTGATTAAAACACAAGCAATTATATAGACTGATAGAGTAGGCCGCCTGCGTAGACAGCCCGTTTTCTTTGTACTGTAGTAAGGACTCTGTCCTATAAAAGCTGATCCAGGTTAGTCCTGCAGCAACGCCTATCTGTTGTCTGCATCAGCAACTTGTCTCACACGGGCTCGCCGTAGCCCGTGCTACTTAGAACTTTTTGTTCAAGGTAGCGAATCTTTTTAACAACAACTTGTTTCAACAATGATCCGAGTAATAATTTCTAGTAGTAACAGGTAACTGTGTGGGGGCACCTGTGGGCCACCTAGGGGTCGTCCCATGTCAGGGGTCGTCCCAGGTCAGGGGTCGTCCCAGGTCAGGGGTCGTCCCAGGTCAGGGGTCGTCCCAGGTCAGGGGTCGTCCCAGGTCAGGGGTCGTCCCAGGTCAGGGGTCGTCCCAGGTCAGGGGTCGTCCCAGGTCAGGGGTCGTCCCAGGTCAGGGGTCGTCCCAGGTCAGGGGTCGTCCCAGGTCAGGGGTCGTCCCAGGTCCGGGGTCGTCCCAGGTCCGGGGTCGTCTCAGGGTTCAGGTCCACTGGTACTGGAATAGATCAAACGAAGTAAATTTAATAGAAAACGTAGCATAAAAATGCGCATCAAGCATTGCTGAAATTAACACAAAGGGAATCCAACCCATTCAAGTCCACTGGAAAGTGAAAGGGATAACTCTAGTAATTTTTCTCCCCTCGAGAAAGGTGCATCAGTTCTCGTCAGCCACTCTTGAAGAGTTCCAGTCTTGAGTGCTTCAGGCGTCACTCTCTAGGGGATCTCAGTAAGTCACAAATCTTAAATTGTCTTAATGGCAAATTCATGGATTTGCATATCTGTTCCTCCCGGAAGCTGGATTCCAGGTCTTTCCCCGCATGTGGAAGACTGACAAGGGAAGGTCGTAGCCTGAGGTTAGTGTGCTAGGCATCAACCCGTCCAACCCAAGGGAGTCGGTCGGCCGAGCGGACAGCACACTGGACTTGTGATCCTGTGATCCCGGGTTCGATCCCGGGCGCCGGCGAGAAACAATGGGCAGAGTTTCTTTCACCCAATGCCCTGTTACCTAGCAGTAAAATAGATACTTGGGTGTTAGTCGGCTGTCACGGACTGCTTCCTGGGGGTGGAGGCCTGGTCGAGGACCGGGCCGCGGGGACACTAAAAGCCCCGAAATCATCTCAAGATATCCTCAAGATATCCTATCCTCAATGTTCATGCCATCCAGCGGTCGACCCCAAAGACGCATTCACAAATTTTAACAAGCTGTTTATTCAAAATAAAAATTTTCTCAAATGTAAATTAATATTATATTAGTATTAAGTTCTGTTGGCGATTATTTGTAGCACGTGGGTGAAGCATTTACAGCGTTGTGGTTCGAACAAAAGTCGTCAGCGAAGCACTGCTCGAAGTGTTCGAACGTCATCAGTTGAGTCGTGTGTAAACCGGTTTTTCATTCATAAACGGGGGGTTTGGCGGGTGCGTGGAATGGACTTCGGCCTTTGAGGATGGACTTCGGGCATAGGGAGATGCCCCAGGGATGGGGGTGATGGGAAGGGGGGGTTGCTCCCAGGGGGGTGTACAGACGCGATTAAAAAAACTATCGAATCTCCTAATCAGTATTTCTCATTCGCTCAACACAAACTACTGTCTACTTCATGGATACAAAGTATCTTGTATATTTCGATCATGTCTTCCGTATTAAATTGAGGAGATTCACCTCCCTCGGTATGTCCATGTGGCTTAGTTCTGGGACTAGTAAAGTTGCTAATTAATCTACTTAGTTGGTTTTTAATTGCTTGTGCTTGAGACAGTGGCTCTGCTGGCGTTGCATACTCTATCACTAGTCAGACGTACGTGATATTTAGTGTTTCTGAACTATCCTTATCTATAAATGAAGAAGGCTACCCTGATAATCACTAACTGCTTTCGGTGGTGATTCAGGTAGCATGACTGAAATGTATAAATGAATAAAAGGGGTTATAACGGATATAAAAAAAACTTTAAACACAAAATAGAACTGTAAACAAAGGATTCAAACAGGATGAGTATAGATTTAAGGAAGACCTGGGTTAATACAGGTTTGGAAACAGGATTATTGATATTTGGAACAAATTACCGGATAACATAAGATGTGGAATCGCTGGATTCCATTCCATTTATCTGGGCTCTGGGAGACTCAAACCGTGTACTCCATGCTTGTGAGGCCGAAGCTCTAGCCACTGAGCCATGAGTAATCTTAAAAGAAATTATCCCTGGATTGTTTCAAGCGTAGGTTAGA